TTCTGCTCCTGTAAAGATTTATAGCCTCAGAAACCCTGTTCAGGGTCGCTATGAGTCGGAACCGACTCCACGGCACTTAACAACAACAACAACAACAACTGTTGTTGTGGAGTCCTGGTATGGCGCTATGAGTTAATGTGCTGGACTGATAGGTCGGTTTGAACTGCAAGGTCAGTGGTTCAAGTTCACCAGCCACTCCTCGGAAGCCCTATACAGGGTTGGTATGTGTTGGAAGCAACTCAACAGCAACGTAACAACAACAACAATATTGTTGTTGTGGAGTCCTGGTGTGGTGTTGTGGGTTAATGTGCTGGACTACAAAGTTGGTTTGAACTGAAAGGTCGGTGGTTCAATCTAGAAAACCCTATACAGGTCACTGTGAGTTGGAACTGACTCCATGGCATTTACAACTTAACAACTGTTGTTGCTTTTGTTAAGTGCCAGGGAGCCAGTTCTAATTCATGTCAACCCTTTATAGGGTTTCCAAGGTGAGGCTGGTGGGTTTGAATCACTGACCTTTCCGTTAGCAGTCCAGTGCTTATCCGACAGTGCCACAATAAAAACTAGGACATCATGTAACTTGAAGAATGTTTGAGAAAAAATGAAAAGGAATTGGCCTTCTCATAACTGCTGTTAAGTGCCATCATGGAGAAAGCCTCGTCTTCCTTCCAAAAAGTGGTAGGCGGGCTCAAACCACCCAGTGAGGACTGTGCCTTACAGTCCAGTGCTTATCCTACAGAGCCACCACACTCCCCTCATCATAGCTAGGTCAGTTTTATATCCTGGAATTACTAACGTGCAAGAAAAAATTTTAAAAAGGAAAAGCGTAAATGCCCCAGTCTCTAGCCTTCAAAACTATTAGATATTAAAAATAAAAGAAAAAGATAGTGACCTTTTTCTTTCAGAAATACTGACTGAATTCTTATCCTATTATCTCATGACACGTGAGGGGCTTCACCAAGCTTGTGGAAAAATTTCATTATCTTTTAATTCCATTTTTCCATGAACTTTTTGATGATTCCTCTTATATGTTGTTTCCTACAATGACAGAATCTATTTTCATAATAAAAGTAAACTAGGAGGGGCAGAGATGGAGCCTATCATTTATACTTAATGACAATTTTTTGGCAGTTTTTTTTTTTTTTTTTACTGTGATTAGAAGAATTGATCTGAGTTATGGTGTTGAAGGAGAATACTGAAAGTGCCATGGGCTGCCAAAAGAACAAACAGATCTGTGTTGGAAGAAGTGCAGCCAGAGTGCTCCTTGGAGGCCAGGATGGCCAAACTTCATCTCTCATATTTTAGACACATTGTCAGGAGGGACCAGTCACTGGAGAAGGACATCAATCATGCTTGGTAAAGTGGAGGGTTGGATAAAAAGAGGAAGACCCCCAATGAGATGGACTGGAACAGTGGCAACATCAATGGGCTCAAACGTAGCAACAATTGTGAGGTTGGCCAAAGATCAGGCAGTGTTTTGTTCTGTGGTACATAGAGTCGCTATGAGTAGGTACCAACTCCATGGTATCTAACAACGATAATACAATGAAAGACACAAATGTGGAGATGCCTCTAAACTGGACTTGAATGTATTCTACAGACTCATTTGAAATAAAAGAAGCGTATATGGATAGCACCCTTCCTCAGTGTGGGCAACATGAAGGGGTTCAAAAAACAATTGTGAATTTAACATTTACAGTGTGTTCATGGAGTCACAATCTGTTTCTTTCCCCCTTGTTTTCAAACACCTTTCCAGTGATTTTGCCATGTGTTCGTATCTGAATCCATCCTAAACTGTCTTTAGTTAATTCATAGAAAATGAGAATGCAATTCTGTACATATATAATGTATGAACTCTCAGGAATACGACTAAAAAAATTCGTAGGATCATGGAACAAATTCTAAAATGTCTGCCTTATTTTTTTTCCTCTCATTCAACTTTGTTTTAATGGGTATCAAAATTCTGTGACAATTTTTGGTCAAGTTGTTTCTATTTGGAAAGTACTGATTTTAGAAACTAATAACTTAAAATGACCACACAAAAAGAAACAAATGGGCCACACAACATTCCTTTCCTTTGGAAGGTTTTACGATACATTGATATCATTAATCAGTCTTTTACTATTCAACTTAATGGCCAGTTGAGACAAACAGATCTGAGACGGTTCACCCTCCACTGATTCAGGCGGGAGTGGCAGGTGTTAGAGGTAATATTCACTTAGCCTTCTGAGCTTTCTGAGCAGATATGGTGACTTTGCTAGCTCCAGCTGTCTTTTTATCCACTGCCTTGGTGATGCCCACAGCATGTCACAACAGCAAAATGACCCAGAGATGGGTAGTCCGAGAAGCTCTCAACACACATAGGTTTGCCGGAAACCATGTCAACATTGGCGGCATCACCAGACTTCATGAATGTGGAGCCATCTTCTAGCTTCTTACCAGACTGATAATCAATCTTCTCCTTGAGCTCAGCAAACTTGCCATCAATGTGAGCTGGGTGGCAATCCAGCACAGGTGCATATCCAGCACTGATTTGGCCTGGGTGGTTCAGGATGATCACCAGTGTTGTGAAGCCATTGGGTCATTTTTGCTGTCACCAGCCACATTCCCACAGCAAACATCTTTGACAGAGATGTTCTTTACATTGAAGCCTACATTGTCCCCAGGCAGAGCTTCACTCAAAGCCTCATGGTGCATTTTAACAGATTTTATTCAGTGATAACATTGACTGGAGCAAAGGTGACCACCATGCTTGGTTTGAGAACACCACAGGGACAGTGCCAATACAATTTTGTATACACCCTGGAGAGGCAGATGCAGGGCCTTGTCAGTTGGATGAGTTGGTGACAGGATGCAATTCAGAGATTCAAGCAACGTGGTTCCACTGGCATTGTCGTACTTACGAGTGACTTTCCATCCCTTGAACCAAGGCACGTTAGCACTTGGTTCCAGTTTATTTTCTCACCACTTCAACCAGAAATTGGCACAAATGCAATTGTGTCAGGTTGTAGCCAATTTTCTCAATGTAGGTGCTGAGTTCCTTAACGATTTCCTCGTATCTCTTCTGGCTGTAGGGTGGCTCAGTGGAATCCATTTTATTAACACCAACAATTTGCTGTTTCACACCCAGTGTGTAAACCAGAAAGGCAGGTTCATGGGTCTGCCCGTTCTTAGAGATGCCAGCTTCAAATTCCCCAACACCAGCAGCAACCATCAGGACAGCCCAGTCAGCCTGTGAGGTTCCTGTAATCAGGTTTTTGATAAAGTTTCTGTGTCCTGGAGCATCATTGATGGTCACATAGCACTTGCTGGTCTCAAATGTCCACAGGGAGGTGCCAATGGTGCTGCCTCACTCACATTCAGCCTTTAGTTTATCTGAGACCCAGGCGTACTTGAAGGAGCCCTTCCACATCTCAAAAGCTTCCTTCTCAAACATTTTGATGGTTCTTTGGCTAAATGGAAGCCAATTGGCTAGTGGTCTATGTAGCTATTATCAGATCCAAAGGCACAGTATATGCACTAGGTCTATTAATAACTGGGTTGATCTTATAGTTTTGTATTCACTTGTTGTCTTCTATGCTAACAAGAAAGATCCCAAAACCCTATGTAATTTAAATTGTTTGGGCCTCCTCCACTCCCGTTTCCTACTGGGCCTGGTGTGCTGCGTCTGGTTTACTGGTGAAATCAGTGTTTTATATCCGTTTTATGAATAGCATACTTTTTCTCAGAATAATAATAGTATGTGGAATAGTAAATTAAAATATAAATGTATGATTTCCAACCAAATTCCATTTTTGTGTGAGCTTTAGTTATTAGAAACCAAACCATTATTTTAATGATTAGTTCCAAAGGCATAATTGCTAGTAGCCCATTTTTTATCCTATCAATGGCGGGAAACATCAAGAGTCTTGAAGTACATACATATTAGCATTCAGTTCTAACAAAGAAGGAATATCAAGAAGCAAATTGGTTCTATGTTACAAAAATATCAAAAGAGTAATAATTGTAAGGACTTTGTTTTCTCTTTCAGATATTACCATGCACCAATATTTCAAAGTATAAAATAATTTTTGTTCATCAAAATATATAATTGATGATAGCCACTACCTATTTTTGCATCTAAAGTTAATTTTTCTTGAGAATTATTATTGACTAAAAAATTTTAAAATTCTATCTACATTTCTTTCACACTCTGGGGAATGTTTTCAAGACAAAGACTTATGGAAGCTATATAAATTTATTAGCACGATCCAGGTAACTATTGAACCCATAGCAGCATAACATCAACTAGGCACATATTCTGGGGTATATTAGAACCTTGGTCTAGTAAAACACAACTCTTGCGGTATACTGTTATTGTACTCAAATTGATCTAGTTTAGGGAATGACTCAACGTTCAATTACTGCGAACTTTCAGAAGTTTGAAAGAAAATAATAACCATTTAACATTCAGAAACAATTGATATCTTTGACTTTAGCAAAACGAGGAATTTGAAAATCATACTTTTTTCCTTAAGTTAAAACTCATGAATTTCACACATATACCCTCCCCAAACCTTGAGTTAGGCTAACAGCAGCGGCAGAGCAAAAAAGGCCTCAGAGAGAGAGAGAGAGAGAGACAGACAGACATATACAGAGAGGAGAAGAGAGGAGGGGAAGAGGGGAGAGGGAGGGACAGAGAGAGAGAGAGTAAACACGCGCTACCCTTTCCTATTGAGCTCAGGTTAGCAGTAATCAGGCACCTGGGTGCACCAGGTGAAGGCTATAGGAGGACAGATGAGTAAGGGAGACGGGCCTGAGAAAACACCTCAGATGTTTGCTACTTGTTTTATAGATTACAGGGAGAATCAACAACTGCATCTAACAACCAAAAACCATTCCTAAATATCACCAAACTACAGATTCCATATGTGTCTATGTGTAATACATAATAAAGTTAGCCCCTCCCCCCCAATATTTCCCATGATGCCGAAGGTAAATGACAGAGCAGTGTTATTCACTGTAACTTTAGATTGGTCATTATAGTCTGGGGATGAGGGAAAATCAAGACGTGTAATGAGTGTGAACTCACTGCAAAGAGAGGCATTTAAAGATACAGGTATCCGACCCAGTAGACCAAGTTAAAGAGCAGGAACGACGTAGGGAAAAAGACCCGGGAATATGAGTCCAGCTCCAAAATGTCTATGTGAACACGGCCCTGTCTCCAGGATCCTGCTTTACATTCTTCATAGCAGCAGAAGAAGCTCTGGCAGTCTTTGCCATCCAGACACTCATGGATACAAGTGTCTTCAAACTCCTTCCAGTACACGGAATTATTCAAAGGGATCATCGCACTTGGGGGCGGCCTCGTACCAAGGAGAGAGTAGTTCTGCAGGTGACAAGAATAAGACAATTATCATGAGGTATGTTGCACAATCTGTATGATGCCTATTTACTGTTAAAGAAGCTGAAGGAACACCTTTACCCCATACATCTTGAACAGTTGACAGTTGCTTAAGAAATTGTAAGTTTAATCAGAGAAAAATTATATTAGTTATTAAGTTTGTATTTTTCAGTGTTTGTACAGAGATTGAGCATATTTTCAAGTGTCCAATAGTCATTTCAAGTGCCTGTTCCTAGGCTCTGCCTACTTTTTCGTTGATTTGTAGCAAGTACTAACATATCATGCTGCTGCTGCTGTTGTTGTTGTTAAGTGCTGTCAAACCAGTTCTGACCCAGAGTGACCCTGTATAGGGCTTCCAAGGAGTGGCTTGTGAGCTTGACCTTGTAGGTCAAAGCGAGTTTGCAGTCCAGCACATTAACCCACAGCACCACACCAGGACTCCATAAAGTATTTAATTATTCTCCCTTAAATCTTAGACATGGATCTCACCAGACAGAATACACAGAAATCAAACTGACTACATCTGTAGAAAGAGAGTGGAAAAGCTCCATATTATCAGTCAAAACGGCCAGGGGCAGATGGGGAAATAATTGTTCATATGCAAGCTCAGGCTGAAGCTGAAGAAAATGAAAAAAAGTCTACAAGAGCCAAAATATAACTTTGAACATATTCCGTCTGAATTTAGAATCATCTGTGGCGCTGTGGGCTAATACATCAGACTGCAAAGTTGTTTGAACTGCAAGGTTGGTGGTTCAAGCTCACCAGCTGCTCCTTGAAAACCCTATACGGGGTCGCTATGGGTTGGAATTAACTAAGACGGCACTTAACAACAACAACAACAACAAAGTCCAAAAACCAGAAGAGTTGAAGGATGACATCAAGATCATACAGAATGAAAGCAATTAGTCTTCCTTATAAGTATATAGATACAATCATTAAAAGAAGACAAGAAAGAAAAGACCAAAATAAATGTTGGAAGAAACTCTGACACTTGCTCTTCAGTATAAAGATGGTAAAGCAAATGGAAAAAATGAGGAAGTACAAAGTAACAAGAGCTGAACAGAAAATATCAAAGGACAGCTAGGGATGACAAACTCAAGGATTATAACAAAAGATGCAAAGACCTCGAGTTAGAAAGCCAAAAGGGAAGAATACGTTCAACATTTCTCAAGCAGAGGGAACTGAAGAAAAAATTCTAGTCTGGACTTGAAATACGGATGGATTCTAAAGGGAAAATGGACTCCTTGTGTGGCGCTAAGAGGTTAAGGCACTGTACAGCAAAAGTCAGTTTGAACCACAGAGTTGGTGGTTCAAGCTCACCAACCGCTCCTAGGAATACAGGGCTGCCATGGGTCAGAACTGACTTTATGGCACTTATCAAAAACAACAACATGGGCAAAATGTTAAATGATGCACAAAGCATCAAAAAAAGATGGAAAGAATACATAGAGTTACTGTACCAAAAAGAAATGGTCTATGATCAACTATACAATCAAGAGCATATGATCAAGAGCCAATGATACTGAAGGAAGAAGTCCAAGGTGCATTGAAGTCATTAGCAAAGAACAAGGCACTGGCTACATCCAATTGGTTGAGATGGCCTTTAAATGCAGGTGGAATGTAGAGATGGTGATGGTGTGCTGTGGAGTCAGTTCTGACTCATAGCGACCCTATATAGAATTTCTGAACATGTAAATTTTTACCAGAGCAGAAAACCTCATCGTTCTCCCATGGAACTGCCAGTAGTTTGGAACTGCTGACCTTTATGTTAGCAGCCCAACTCACAACCACTATGCTACCAGAGCTCCTTAGGTGGCATATACTCAAGGTAATGTTTTGAATCTTAAAGACTTGTTTAATTTTTCTGCAGTTTTAACGTGAACTTGCATATGAGCAAGTTCATGGTCTGTTCCAGTCAGTCCCTGACCTTGTTTTGCTGATGATTATGGGCTTCTTGTTGTCTCCTCCCACAGATTTCATTCCTGTGTATTTTATCTGGCAAGATCAACGTGAAAAAGGTATCTGCAATAAAGAATTGGCTAATCTTGCAAAATGATAATCATGTGATCTCCAGTTTCATTTCTATCACCAATGCCATATTTTCCAACTGCCAATTCTTCCTCTTTGTTTCCAACTTTCACATACCAATCAGCAGTAATAATCAATGCATCTTGATTGCATGTGTGATCCATTTCAGCCTGAAGAAGCTGGTATAAGTCTTCAATTTCTTCATCATTGGCTTTAGTTGTTGGTGTATAAATGTGAATAATTGTATCAAGTAGTCTTCCTTATGTGTATAGATACAATCCTATCAAGATGTTGTTGTTAAGTACCATCTTGTCAGTTCTGACTCACAGTGATCCTGTCTAAGGTTTCCAAGGAGCGGCTGGTGAATTTGAATGACCAACTTTGTGGTTCAAGCCAATCTTGCAGTGCAGTACTTTATCCAATAGCGCCACACCTAGATCTTGAAATGTTATTTTTTGATGATGAATACTGTGAATGCCAATCCCCTTCAATTTGTATTCCCAGCATAGTATACTGATTCTAAATGGCCAATACCAATCCATCTCAGCTCAGTAATGCCTATGAGGAGTAGTGGTGTGGTGTTGGAGGATATGCACTGGAATGCTAACTGCAACATCAGTGGTTCGAACCCACTAGTTGCTCCTCACAAAGCACATACTGTGCATTGGAACTGAGTCAATGGCACTTAATGACAACAATAATGCCGATGATGTCAATCATTATGAGTCAAACTTCACTTTTGATGGCTTCTAATTAGTGTAGTGGTTACTAATTGGACTGCTAACCTCAAGGTTAGCAGTTTGAAACTACCAGCTGTTCTGCAGGAGAAAGATGAGGCTTTCTGCTCCTGTAAAGATTTACAGCCTCGGAAACCCTGTGCAGGGTCACTATGAGTCAGAACCGACTCCACGGTACTTAACAACAACAACAACAACAATTTGTGGTGCCAAGATCAGTTTGAGCTTCAAGGCTGGCAGTTCACACTCACCAGCCATTCCTCAGTGACCCTATACAGGTTCACAATGATTTAGAACTGACTGTACGGCACATAACTGCCACCATCACCATGAGCCAATTACTAATGGATATATTAAGCTATTTCTTTTAATTTTTAAGTCATACTTCATCAGCAAATGAAGGTCCCAAAAGCTTTAGCCCATCCATGTCATTAAGGTTGAATCTAATTTTAGTCAGCTTTTTTGCAGTCATATTTGGAGTGCCTTCTATCCTGAGTCCTGGGGTAGCACTGTGGGTTAATGTGCTGTACTCCAAAGTAGGTTTGAATCTCAAGGTCAGTGGTTCAATCTCACCAGCCACTCCTTGGAAACCTATGTAGGCTCACTATGGGCTAGAACTGACTCCATGGCACTTTACAACCACAACAATCCAGCCTGAAGGATTCATGTTCCAGCACTATATCAGACAAAGTTTTGCTGTTATTCATAAGGCTTTCAGTGGCAAATTCCTCAGAAGTGCACCACTTAATCCTTTTTCCTGGTCTGTATTAGTCTGGAAGCTGCACTGAAACCTGTCTACCATGGGTGACCCTGCTGCTTTTTGAAATACTGTTTACATGGCTTCCAACACCACAGAAACATACAAGCCACCACAGTATGATAATCTGACAGAAGAGTGGTAAGATTGTAAGCATAAGAAGAATATAAAAATACCCTATAAAATAATGTCATAGACACCTATTCATAAGTTATTTTTCAGTTAAAAAAATACGTTATAAAGAGAAACAAAAGAACTATATAAAGAAAACTACAAAACATTACAAGAAACCAAAAGAGACTTACAAAAATGAAAGAACATACCATACTCATGGATTGGAAGATGGAGGTAGGCAGAAGAATGATGAAGCTAGGGGAAGACACAAGAAGATATGCAATGGCAAAAGGGATAGAGTAAATAGTTTATACACTCAAACTTGGAGCAACAGTGTTCTGTGTGTAGATATGTGGACAGCCACTGGATGGAAGGATATGGGAAGAAGAGTAGGATATATGCTGTGTATATATATATAAGAGTTTGAAAAAGGATATTTGTATATGGGTATCGATAGTTCCTGCAAAATAAGCTATGAATATGGTGGAATATGTTGTTGTTGCTGTTAAATGTCATCAAGTTGGTTCCGATTCATAGCAACCCTGTTTAAGGTTTCCAAGGAGTGACTGGTGAGTTTGAACTGCTGACCTTGTGGTTCAAACTGACCCTGAAGTCCTGTGCTTATCCTACAGTGCTGGGCAAAATGATGAAAGCTTCTTAGATATTATCAATCATCTTAAGCTTAGCAATGAGTTGCTGGGCCTTGGGGCTCAGGACATAGTCTCACAGAACACTGTGTTCAATTGGCATAACAGCCCACAAAGACAATGTGCTACATCCGACTTTGGTAAGTAGTGTCTGGGATCTTAAAAGCTCATGGGCAGCCATCTAAGCTTCAGCTATTGATCTCTTCATGTGTGAAAGAAAAGAATGATGAGAATAGAAGTGGCTTGGAATCAATTAGTCCAGAGGATTAATGGAACATGTGACCGTCCATCTCCGTGACTTGAAGACTAGAAGAATTAGATAGTGCTTGTCTACCATTACCAACAGCTCTGAAAAGGAGCACACTACAGGGTCCTGGAATAGAGTGGGAGAAAAGGTGGAACAAAACTCAAAAATTCTTTAAATAAAAAAGAAAGACAGACCAGGCTTATTGGTCAGAAAGAGACTGGAGGAACCTGAGACTGTGGCCCTCAAGCACCCTTCAGGTCTGGAATGGAACTCACCCTTGTGGCCCAGTTTTCAACCAAGCAGTAGATTGGTATATGGGTGGTGGTAGTGGTAGTGGAAATAACACTAGTAAGGTCTGCTCAGCATGGAGTGGTCAATCATTCAAAATCAAAAGGGCAACATTTTCTTAAGGACAAAGTTGAGAAGCAATGAGAAGGTGGGTGGGAAGGAACTAAGAACCACAGGGAGGAAGCAGGAGAACTGTTGTTACATGGAGGGGAGTGCAATCCAACGAAACAAGTGTAGAATTTGTGGAAAGTAAAACTCATGATATTGTCTGTGAACTTTTACTCAGTTCACAAGAAAAAGTTAATACAAAAATCATTTATCTAAAATATACTTATATATATTATTAAACTGTCTAGGAAAGTTAGACAAACTGTATACCATACACTAATCTCTGGGTGGAAGAATTATGATTTATTTTCTCCTCTATTTCCCAAAATCTTGGGAATTAAAAAAAAATGTGTGTGTGTGTGTGTGTGTGTGTGTATGTATATATATATAGATATATAGATAGATAGATAGATAGATACATATGTTGTTGTAAAGTGCTGTTGAGTTGGTTCCAA